TTTTTTCTGGTTTCATTCATTATTTATTTTTTATATTTAATTCTTCGTAATGTGACTTTGTATATAAAAACCACACGAAAAAAGATTGACAGAAAATTTTATTAAAAGATTCTTCCTTTTTTCAAAATAATTTAAGTAGTAGAAGATTTTCCTTTTGATGAGAAAATTTCTAGCATGCAAATTTTGACTGGTATTCTTAATAATGTAGTTGCAAATAAGGAATATAAAGAATTAGTAAAATTATCAAAAATTTTGCAAGATTTTGCTTACGGTAAATATTTCCCAATTTCTTACATTATTTCCAAGTGGCTATAACAATTATAATAACATGATATCGGCCTGCTGCTGTGCGCACATTAAGCATCCCAAGGATTCGCCTCGTTAGCTCTCTCAGAAGGTTGGGCAAGCGGCGCAGGAAAACTACTTATTCACATGAAAAAGTGATTAGCAAGACAATGTCGACGTCGATTGTCAGTCATGCTAGGTGAGCTTGGCAATAAAAGAAAATAGGAGGTACACGCATATAAACATGTCATAATTAACCTTTTGCCAAGAGACACTGCTGTCACTTAGTATTTCAATAAATTAATGACGAAATAAATCATTCGTTTTGCCTCGTGTATGGCAGCATCTCTCTCATTGAGCCATACCTTAACGATTGCTCTCTTTGCACACCTTGGCGCTGTGATTTTATGGAAATAATTTATCACCGGTTTATTAATAAGTTTGCATATTAAAATTACTGTTCGTATATTAATTAAGGTGGCATAATTCAGTTGTATGAGTGGAGTGATTTAATTAGAGCTGCATTTTTAACACGATTCGATTTCATATAAAAACGAATATAAACATATGTTAAATCAAAACAGTTATGTGTGTTTTTATGACATAAATCCTTGACATGCTCCTACTGATAACTGCCGCCGCGCGAATTCACCGAGCAAGGCAATCTATTTCAATTAAATGCATGCTGTTTACTTATTTTACATTTGCCGCTCTTGTCTTGAAGAATAATAAAACAAATCCCATACATACATGCCCTATAATCCTTCTGTGTATGCCAACGCACTCCGCGAGCTGAGTAATTGAGACAATTTAATTACTTCTTGCTCACATTCTTGTCAAGTTAACATATTTTCAATCGTATGTGCATTTATGGTAAACAATTTTTTATTAAATTCAATGTTGTTTTGAACTGTCATACATAAACAATAGATAAAAATCTGGTTTTAATTTGCTTTGGAGAGCAAATATTAAGCTTTAATAATTTAAATAGCATATAATAAAGAACATAAAATCTGCGGCCTAAAATATATTAAAATTTCTGTGCCTTTTGATGATGTAATATGCTTACAATGAAGCTATTATTTTAATTAAAATTTTGATCATAAAAATTATTCGACAAAATTTCACCGGAAGAAAAAAAATTTAACGTTTTCGTTTTAGATTATTCAATGTTCTTTTGAGTGGCCTGATGGAAATATTGAGTAACAAATTGGCGCAAAAATTTATTTTCAATTTATTCTCTATATTATAATAACACGTATCAATTTTAATTATAAAACGTTTAAATTAGGTTATAAAATTATCTTAAAAATAAAACACTGAATTTGTAATAAAACTGTTATAAAATATTGTAAAAATAAAATTGCTTTTAAACATATTTTTTAAATACATAAAATATTTTGTATAAAAAAGATATCATATTTTTAAACTTACACCAAAAGAATAATTTTAGTTCCTTTTATTATGAAATTAAATTTATAGTCCTGAACAAAATTAGTTGCAAATATCAATTTGTAAGATTTTCAAAGGCCTGTCCAGATAAAAATCCTGTTTGCTTGTGTCCTTTATTAGCGGTGATTAGCGGAAGCAACTATTTACTGTTTCTCTAATTCTTTATTTTACTTGATCCAAATCAATCAAATTCGGAGAAATCTCTAATTAAAATATGATACACAAAAATTGAAATACTCTGTAATTTACAAAAAAAATCTATTGAAAACCTTTTGTTTCAAGCATTGGGTTAATTTTTTTAAATTTTTTTCTTATCAAGACTACGTTATGGACCCAAAAAGCAGGGTTAATTTATTTGGTCTGCCAATTAGAATAATCTGCCTACGCCATTCAACACCTTCTCCTCTGCGACGCAGACTCCTCGGTGTCACTCATTCGTACTCGCCGTGCTTTGTTATTATTGTTTTGTTCATATATAAAAATCACTCCATACTTTGATGTGTGTTGTTTGTTGAGCACAAACAGAAAGACAGACGGAGCGAGCAGCAAGCAAGACAAATTTGGAAAGGCTCTCGGCGAGAGATGATGGGCACGATGCAGCTGTTTTTGTCGCCTACTCTTAAATTATAATTTTTGTGTTGGTTTAATCTGGCTGCGCTCGCTCGGGTCCGTTCGTCCGTAAGCTGTGTGTATGAATGCTGCTGCGATGGTGCTCCAGCCAAACAAGTAGACACATCCGGCCTGTTTAGTTAGAACTTTTAGCTGCTTTCCCCCTCAGGGTTCGCTCGCTCGCTCGCTCTCTGGCGCGCGCTGCCTGCTCTATCTCTTAACTCTTTCATGATGATGAAAGAAAGGCTTGGCAACAACTAAATACATACTTAATGATTTAACTACTGCTACACGTCTCTTTCTTTCTATACTTTTTCTCTCTCCAACATTTAATTCCTCCTTTTTTTTTTTTTAATTTGAATCCGAAATTTAGATTTTGGACGGAGACGAAATGTGATTTTTTTCCCGCTGTTCTGCCGTGCGGCGCACATTCTATTTTTGATCACAGGATGTGCCCGCACAGGCTTGAACGTTTAATCCGTCCAGTGTGAGAAAAGTCCGAAATAGATTGTGCTCCAGCACCAGGCCATGGGCCATGCATGAATGTGTTCGAAAACGTGGTTTACAGCAGAATCACTTTATTCACAACTCTCATCGAGCGCCGGATTTTACTAATACTGAATCAGACTCAAATTTAGATTTTTTTGTTCATTTGGGAAGTGAATTTCCTCCCTCATTGAATCAATACCGGATTTCCCAGCCAATTTATATACACATGGGGATTTTCGTTTTAATACAGAAAATAATGTAATTTTGATTAAGTTTTGCTTCTGTCCAGTCGAATAATCAATTTAATTGGAACTAATTCAAACACAATGATTGACGTCGAAGTGAACTTTTAAACCAGAAGCTTTACTACTTGAAAAAAAAAACTTCGTTCATTTTTCATTATACTGATTATGTTTAATTATTTGATCATAATAAGTTCAAAGAAGGTAAAAATATATTTTTGGGTTTATAAATAATGCTTTTATCTTTAATAGATTGAGTCTGCAAGTCATTTCCGCCTAGTCTTTGCATCATCCTTAAAATTTGGAAACTAGACAACCCCTCGAACGGAGCAGTCACGCTGATTGCATACCTGAACAAAGTCCTTCTCCCCACGACATGAAATATTTTGTGCTAAAAATGCCCTGCTCGCATAAATAAAAAGCCACTTAAAAACTTTTGTGGAAGAAAAATATAAAATTTTCTCCAGCACGCCTATTAAACAAGTCCAACCATGCGGACGATTCCAAGACATAAAACGCTAGAGCACACATTTCGGACGACAGGACAGCAATCGTAAAATTATTTTAGTATGCTTGTACAAACTTATTTTTTCCGCTGCCGAATATATACATATATTTTACACGCAGGCCCATAAAGATCTTCCAAAGTTCCCCTCCAGAAGGAGAAAACACGCCGAAAATATAATAATAATTCGCCGCTCTCTGCAGATGGAATGAATGAATTGTGGCGGCAACAATAGGTCGGCCGGGCCGAAACGGGAAGGTTTTTCAAAGAAAAGAAGGGTATGGAGAAAAATGTGTGCCTGCGCGGAGTTAGTTAGTTTTATAGTCGCGGCAGCCGAAGAAGAAGTAAGAAAGAAAGAAGGCATATCGCGGCGGCAGCAGGTTTTTCTGGTTGTTGTTGTGCTCGGCTACCTGCTGCTTTTTTCAATACATCCCTTAGAGCAATGCGATAGATAGATCCGTGCGTCCATCGGCGCAGGAGGAGTAAATTTATATTTTATACACGTGAGGAGGCAACTCTGGGCCGCGGTCGACATCTTTTCCTTCGGGCAACAAACCGAGCACAGTGAGCAGCGAGACTGCACCGGAAACGCCAGTTATAAGGTTTCCCATCTGTGTTCCTAAAGTACCAACACACACACACTATGTATAGCAGCAGCAGCAGCAACAGAAAGAAAGAACGAGAGAGGCGGGCAAGCCGAGGCAGCGCGCGCGAGAGAGAAGGGATTTGGTACCCTGCCGCTCACAAAACGCAACCCCTCAAGGCTGGCGAGGTTATTTTTTCCTTGGTCTGGTGCAGCCTCCTCCTCCCTCCAAGAGCGAGCGCCTCTCATTCATTACGCCGTCTCGGTCGACCTTCTCAGCAGACAGAAAATATCCGAAAAACCTTTTCGGAAAATTATTTCAACCTCCTCGGTTGGGATTTTATTAAAAAAAAAAGAGCTCGGCCGTGGAAGAGAGGCCGGCCTGGTTGATTAGAATTTGTTTTCGATTCATGAATGAGAAGGAAGTCATTAATTAATAGTTTGTGAGGAAACGATGAATGGAGAGGGCAAAGCCGCCGACTTGTTAATAGTGAGGCGTATTTTCCGGTTGGATTCGACGATGTTTGGAATTTTTTTGCGAAAACAAACAACTGGATTTTATTTTCATCTTTGTTATTATTATAATTAATATTACATTAAATGTTTTTTTTATTTATGTACAGTTTTTGTAAAACAAAGATTTATTACATTTTTCATCATCTCTCTTACAATCTGACGACTCCTGTAAGCAGCATGCCTTTGACATTACACAGTGTAGTAATAAAACGATCATTTTGCGTTATTACTCGTTTTGCGCATATATAGAAATATAGAGCTGGCGGGCGAGTTGCGTTTTTCGTTTTTGATGCAGTTTTGTATATATTTATTTTTATTAAAAAAAAAAGAGAAAAGTTGCTGGAATTTCCATGTTTTGTTGTTGTTGTTGTTGAGTTTGGAAGGGTAAATAGTAGCGAGGAAAAACTATCAGCTTGTCGCATTACAAGTTATACAAAATAATGTATGAATGATTAGGTAGTAGTTGGTAGTAGTAGTGGTAATAATATCTATATTACATCTCCTTAGTGAAAAATTGGCGCTTTTTACTCACTTCTTTTTTCAATTCGAGGAAAAATCGAAAAAGGTTGATTTCGCACGATTATTATCCATTTAGCCAACAAAAAACGAAATATGAATGTGAATGTCAATGAGCAGATGAGAGTATCATAACAAGCAGGTCAAAAATAAATGTGTGAACCAACAAGCAACAAATTAGCTTTCCGCACTTTCTTCCTCTCTATTCTCCGATATAAAAAGCAGGCACTCACGTCGATTTACTCCACAGGTATATAAATATGTGAGAAAGTTTCTCCACAAGAGAAACAAATATAACGAATGAATTGATGAATGTGAGTGAATTGCTTGTTTGTTTAATTATTTCGAAAGTGAGAAATTTATTTTCACGAACAACCGCGTTTGCTTCCTACGTCAAATATACGTAGATTTACGTACCAGTCAAAATCGGTCAGGAGACATGTATGTTTTTTTTTTATAAATTTCAGCAAGAGAGAAAAAAAATCAAATTTGTTTTTTTTTCCACTATTATTTTATATATTCCACTTAATCCTCCTTAGAGTTATACATACAGTAAAGAAACTCGCACGCATTCCGTAATAACAATCATACTTTTTTTGCCGCAGACTAGATAATACTGGGGGAATATAAAAAATAGCATTTCTGTATGTTTTGCAAATTTATAAACGCACACCAACTTTTGCTTCCGCTTGCTTTCAAATAATTACTTTTATTAATTAATTCATCTATAGAGTCCATTTCATTTAAATTAAACAGTAGTAGCTTTGTTTTATTTTTTTTTCATCTCGCTTCGGACGCAGCAAGCCCCGGGCCGGGGAGATCGGGCCCGTGACGAGACCCCGCGGCGTCGCCGCCCACGCGCAGGACCGAACGAAAAAAACTAGGGAGGGAGTCTTTTGTGGAAGAATTATTAACATTATTTAGAGTCTAACAAGACTAGTATACGATTATAAAAGACTCGTTGCTCGCAAGACACGTAATTTTTTCCTTTCCTTCTTCGCCGTATATTAAAGAAACAGCTAATAATTTAAATATATTAATTACAATTAATTAAAAGAGGAAATATATATATTACGTAAAAAAATTGAGCGACAACGAGCGGAGCCGAAATGTGTGCGCGAAATCCAGACTGCGGGGCTGCTGGCCGAGCAAGTGACGATTTATTACAGAAGATTACTGACAAACAGCATTTTATATATCAAGTGGGAACCGCCCGCCCGTTCAAATTAACTGAGAGACAGAATTGTATATAAATTGGCATATATATTTTTGTTGCTATTGTTAAACAGTACATTAGTCAGAAGCGAGAGAAATTGTTTTGATTTGACATCATTATGGAGACGGCAGGCAGGCTTACGATAAGTAAAAATATATAAAGACTTCTCGAGAGTTCTTGCTTGTGTGTGTACTTTGGGAATCGAATGTTTGTAACAGCAATGAGAGCCACCCGCGTTCGAAACGTATAACAAAAAGAAAGTGTACAACTCAACAAAATGTATATAAAGAGCGATACAATAATAAAAACGTGGTCAGATGGCGTATTCGATTGAAATATTATATAAATCATTTGTTGTTGGTTGCGTGTAGAGTTCGTTTAAATGCACATTGCAGTAAGTTAATTACGTAACATAATAGAAGACAGATAGATAGATACATTCAGAGAAAGTGTTTAAAAGAAATGGGCGGGAATCAACAACAACAAACGCGCGCGTTTTTTTTTATATTTCTTTTGTAGTAAATATATAAATATTTAATGCATGAATTTGATTTGATTTGCGTTTCCGACGGAAAAACGTATACAGAGAAAAACAGACAGCTGTCGCAAAAAGAGGTCGGTTGGCTTGCTTATTCAGTTATTTTTCGTTCTGTATCAATTCCTTTTTTGTTTGTAATCCCTGATAACACAATAATTATGTATGAAAAAAAAACATCCTCGATCGGTCGACACGACGACGAGACGACACACTCGTTTATATAACTTGTCAGAGCAGTTCGGTTTTAATAAATTTTTTTATCAAATATATAATTTAAGTTGGAGCGTCTCTCTCTCATTTTTTGTTTCTCTATACCACATCGATCAGTGTGTGTGTAATAATTATTACAATACATAATAATTATATAAGAATTCAATTATAAGAAGTCCTTGTGTGTGTGGGGGGGTGTGCGAAGGGGGGCAACACGAGGCACTACTCGGGGCTGGAGTCGAGGAGCCGCTTGTCGGCGGCGCTGCCGTCGAGCAGCGCCTTGTTGCTGGCGGCCGCCTCCAGGGAGGCGGACGGCGGGAGCGGGGGCGGCCGACAGCGGCAGCCGCGGTTGCTGGTCAGCCGGTTGTGGCAGGCCTCGTAGCCGGCGACGGCCGCCCGCAACGGCCAGTAACACAGAAGGCAGGGCAGCACTACGCTGAGCGCGGCCAGGCAGCCCCAGCGCGCGCAGCTGCGCGGTGCGGCGCACGAGCACGGCTCGTCGGCGCACGGCGCGTTGCCGTCGTCGCGCTCATAGTCTTTGGAGCAGTGGTAGAAGATGGCCTTGACACAACACAGGCAACTGACGTAGTCCACCGTGGCCTGTGGCGAGCAGTACACGTTATTGTTACACAGCCAGCGCTCGGGCAGCGCCTTGGGGCCGCGGCACGCGTTGCACTTGCACTCGCCGCACTCGGGGCAGATTCCGGGCCGCTCGGCGGCGGCCGCGGCCGTCGCGCTGCACTCGGCCGCCTCCGACTTCTTGCCCGGCTGCTTGGTGATGACGGCCGGCGGCCGCTTGGCCGCCGTGGGCAGCGGCAGCCGCCCGCGCGGCTGCTGCGGCGGGGCTCCATGCGTTCGACTAGGGGGGCGGGGAGGGACTGCGCAGACGGGGCTGCGCAACGGCGCCTCCACATAATCGTTGGCGACCCGCTCGCCGTCAGGGCGCGGCTGCGCGAGGCTGACTGCGGCCTCTGGCTGGCTGCGCCGCGGGAGCAGCGGCTGCTGCTGCGTGCGGAGCGACGAGGATGCTGAGCCGGCGGCGGCGCCGACGCGGTGCACTTGAGGTAGCGGGGCGGCTAGCGACGGAGGCACACGTGCGGCGGACGCGGCGTTTCCATGCAGGGCCATGGATCTTGATCTGCTCAATGCGCCCGACACCGAGCTGCCGACGTCTGCGTCGTCCACCAGGCTTCGGCGGTGGCGGCGGCCCTCCTGCTGCTCTCAAAATCTGCGCTCGGCTGGCGGTGCTGCTCGCGGCCCTCGTCCTTCTTCAGCATGGCCTGCCAGGAGCAAGGCATCGCTCCGCCACTGCTGCGCTGCTGCTGATGGCTACCTCTGCAGGCCGTCCTCCTGCCACATAGCATCAGCACTCCATTGGCACCTGAAGAAAAACAAAACAATCGTCAAAATTGGTCATAAAATCAAATTAAATTTTAAATTAAAAAATAAGAGATAAGGGGGTTGAAAAATAAGTTTATCATTTAATCCTCTCAGTGTTTTTTTTTTAATTTGATATTTGTCATACTCGGCACACCTCTTTTCCACTCTCATTATTTCTTTCTTTTCCTCGTTAAGTTTCGTCATTTAACTCCCAACTTATCACCTTTCATAATCCATTAAACGCCGGCTTAAGAAACTGAGCCTCTCTCATTGTCGCCTGCCTCCTTCCCTCTCACATCGTAAAACAATCGATTCCCGCCTGCTCTTTTCTTTTCTCACTCGCGACGCGTGCAATTAAGCAACATAGAACAAACAAGCAGGTTCTCATGATTGATTGTAGGCGATTCAATCACGGCGAGAGGCAGAGTAAAAAAAAAAAAAAAAAACAGGGCACCGAGGAGGACAAATGCCGCGAAACCTACGACGTCTATTAATAAGACGCCTTTCTAGTACTCGCAAGAAGTGTCTTACTTAACGAGCGGCGCATTTGCATTTATCTATTCGACGCGAGCCCACACTGAGATCGGCGGCGGCCCACCTCGTCCTTTTCACGCAGCAACACCCTTAAGAACGAGAACACCGACTTTCTCTCCTGCACGTACACGAATTCCCTCCTTTTTCAATTAAAAAATAAAATAAGTAAAAAAAATGGAAATAAAATCTGTCGTCACCGTCGTAAAAATTATCTCCGAGCGAAGTGCGTGGCGAATTACGCAATTAATAAACGGCATTTTATGCTCAAGTGTGCAGTGCACGCACGCAGAGGCATCACATTTATATACAAAGTGTTGATCCTCCTCATGACGGAATTGCTTCGCGTCTCATTCTTGAGCGAGCACTTGCTCTCTCGCTCCATGCACACAATGTTGCACAATTGAAGTCGGAGAGCATGCGAGAGAGAGAGAGATTATATTGCTTGAGAAACAAGGAGTGGTCAGTCAGCATCAGCAACGTGCGCTTGTGTTTCATTGTCTTATTCTCAATCCACCGCTTCAAAAATAAAAAATCAAATAAAATTCATTCTTATTCCATATTTGGACTTAACTTGATAAAAAAATTGTAAATCAAAAGAAGATTAAAAAATTTCCATCTAGTCCTTGAACCCCCGATTGAATTGAGTGTGGAAAATCGCTGAGAAGGCGCAAATATGGTTATTTATCGCGGCCGGTGTCGATTGACTGTGCGAGGCGGCGAGCCGAGAGAGCTGCCTGTATATTTATTCATTCGGATTGAATCAGCGCGACGACGGCCATCACTGGCTGCTCACTGCAGCGGCATGACTTCATATTTGTATTTATAATTCATTATCGGCGGCTGATAAGGCGCAGCGAGAGCCACACAGATTTTTTTCTTATATTTCTTCCCAGGGCGCGTCTCCGAGCGATCTCGCACGCATTTTGGCGCCAAATTCAAACTCGGGGTCACTTTCGAGGGGATCGGAATTTTCGGTAAGGGCTCATTCAGAGAGCTGGATTCGGGCGCTGCTGGAATGAGAGAGAGAAAGAAACCGAGACGCGTTGCTCTTTCGGGCAGCCAGCCGAGAACATCTGCTCTTTTTCTGGTTGCCAGGCAAGTCTAGGTGCAGGTAGGGCGGCAGGTATCTCTCTCGCTCTCTCAGAATGTTCTACCTTTTTCAACTGGTTTCCCTGGCATGAATGATCAACCAGCAGAGAGGAGAGCAGCGAGCGAGGCCAGGTACACGAATCGACAAAAAATACAACGCCCGATACCGCAGCGCTTGAAAACTAGTTTTATTTAATTTTTCTCCTTTTTTCGGATTGAATTTAAAATGAGAATTTGAACTAAATTTAAAAAGTGTTTGCCAAGTCGGCTGGCGTGTAAACAGCGCTCATGCACGGGGGGCCTCTTATCAGCACTCCATTCATAATTGTGCGCCTGCAATCCACGTCCGCCCGCCCAAATGAGACACAATTTCCGGCACATTTTTCCGAGAATCTTCTTCCTTCGGTCAATTAGGCGCCGAGAGAGAGAAAAACAGCGACCGCAATTTTCAAAGATGATTTGGAAGGGTTGGGAGAAGAGACGAGGTTTCGCTTGAAACTTGAGCCTTTCTTGTTTTTTTTTTTCGTGAAGCGACTCAGCTGTCTGGCTTGACTGACGTTTCAAGTGTGATATAAAAGTGGAATGTCAATTTCACAGAAATGTGCGTGGCCGTGGAGGAGTTTGCACGTTTCAAAAATTCGCAGAAATTGAGAAAAAAAAAGTGGATCAGAAAATTGCAACGTGTTTCAGATAATTAAACTATGATAAGATTAAAATGGGGCAATGAGGAAAACTTGAACGAAAGGAAAATAATTAATTTTTATCAATTCATTCATTTGCAGTGGAAAATAATTGTGAAAAAACCTCAACACGCAATTACGGAGGCGCACAGGAAGTTGATAGAGGACGGGCAATTTAAATTCTCATTTCAAACTTATCAAATTTTTCCGCCCCGGCGATAACCACGCGCTCTGTTTCTCAGGTTGCGTGAACTCGGCGACAACCTGCTCAGAATTTTTTCTCGTTCGCACGGCGGCTATTCGGAATATTCTGTCAGACCAGCACATTTGTTAAATAAGCTAATGCATGCCGAAGCGAATGAAACGGCGCGGGGCTGCCGCTGGTGAGAGTGAAAAACAAGTTGGTGTATAAGTGCCGCCCTGCTCTCCTACGGTGTACATATTTCATAATGTACTAATAATCCTCTAGGAAAAATTCGAGACTGGAATGATAACCTTCAAGAAAGAGGCTCCGGTCGGCTGAGAGCAAATAAATGGAAAATCAACTCTATAAAAACCAGAATTATTAAATTATTTAATAATTATTAATTTAAGCTGAAGCAAATTTTTAATTTTATTAATTTTTCATTTTAAATTTTTTTAATTGTCTTATTGAACACCTGACTGGCATGCGAGAGCAAAAATTTGGCGCGTTTCTGGTTCGATCTAGTTCCAATTAGCCGCGAATTGGATTGAGCAAGATGGTCGAAATTGATTGAGTTGGAAAAGAGCCCAGCGCGCTGAATACAAATGAATGGTCGTGTCCGAGTTGGTCGTTCAGCCGATTGGGGTTAAATGCAGCGGCGGCGGCGGCACGATATGCCTACCCACTTCCGGTTGTCACGCCGCCACATCTTAACGGATATTAATGAATTAACCTCGTTAATGCTTGCGACACCGGCCGCGCCACCGCCATTCATGAAAGAAACAGATATTCGCTATTTTCGGCGATTATAATTCCCGGCCCTGCCCCAACAGATAACAGCCCCGCCGCGAGTAAAGGGGAAGAAGCTGGTCAATAATAATGAGGGGTGCGCATTTCATTCATGCTGCAGAGCAGCCCCCATTCAAGGTGGAGGCCGATTCAAGGCCTTTAATCCAATTTCCGCAAGCAGCGGCCAGCGCTGATTTCGAATGAAGATTGAAATAATTTATAATCAATTTGCAATTAACACAAAAATCTAGAATTGAAAGTTCCCAGCTCTTATTTTCAATGGCAGAATTTAAACTCTCTTTTTTAAATTGGAAAGGACGCGACTTTTTGTGCAGAGTGACCATTTCCGGTGCTCAAGTTTTGATCAGCACGGCCTAAAATTTTCTTTTCAGTTTGATTAAAAAAGTTCAAATTCCTTAATTAGATCAAATTGAAGGATTTAAATTTCAATTCCAAAGTTTTAAAAGTAATTTCTTTTTAATTAACAAAGAAAATATTTAACAGTCCGATTCTTTACTTGCTTTAATGGAGTTTAATAGTTTTGCAAAATCAGTTCCATGAATATTTTGTTAGTTCGAAATAATATTTTTTTCTTATTCTGAAGGTCACCAGACGTAGATATAAAAATGAAGCAAAATTTAAGAAAATCTAAAAAATTGTGTTAAAAATAGCCTGCCTAAACTTCCTACTGTTCGTTTCTAAGCTCCACATATCGATTCAAATTCAAATTTCGAAATATTCTTGGCAAACGTTTGAGCTCCCATTCATTTTCATTCATTCATTCGGCGCCGGCCGGTGGTGCCGAATCAATGAACGCAACTTAAAATTCCACGTTAAGATAAACGGAAAATTTCTCATTTAAGTAAATAAAATTATTGTTTGAGCGTTTCTGGTTTTCGGACGGCGATTTGTGTTAGCATTTTGGAAACGCGCGTGTCGGTTTCATTGAGCGCTGCCTGGCTGAATGGGTGGCGCGAGGAGAGCCTCAATGGCGGCCGGACGTGGTGAGATCTGAACCAACTTACGGGCTCAAAAATCCAAAGGGTGGCGAAAGTGGTACGGCTGGAAGATGCGTCGGACAGGCACATTCCCTGGGGTATCCACAGGACAAGCACACGTGACACACTGCACTGAATTTGGGGTTGGCGAGAGAGCGAGCACCGTATCCTGCTGCTGCTCGGATCGCACTCGGACGCGAGTTCACCAAAGTGTCCGACGTGCTAGGGTGGTGGACATGTGTGGCCAGGTCGCGACCTAGAGGGCGCCGTCTCGCACCTGCCACTGCTCACTTGGTCAGTTGGGCCGAATTGACTGATTTCGGGCTCGCGCGCGCCGACACAGGACCTGCTCGCGCGCGGACAGTTTCTCTTCGACTGAGCCCCTCGGATGGCCCGACGAGGGTCGTGCGCAGACGCGGTCTGCGCTGCAGGGGAAGGCGGCGTTGCCGCGCCGGCCGTACCTGCCGAGGCACGCCATGTGAATTCGCTCGCTCTCTTGGCTGGCTGGCTTGGGTCGCGCGAGCCGAGGCGCCAAATCCCTGCCTGCCCTTCCGGCGCCTTTTCCACAAACGCGGCGGCCTCTTTCTTATGGATGGTGCAGCCTTTTTTGCCGCTGCTCACCGTCCCACATTATAATTGTGTGACGCACAACTTCACTAACCGACCTTTTTTTACAAAATCCAATTTACGTGTTATAGTTTAAATTATATAAATCAAATATAATTTTAATATTATTACTGCTTATTAAAATTGTAACTTTTGTAATTTAATGTTTTATCGAATTATTTATTTACTTGCATTTTTTTAATATTATTTTAAAATAATATAATTCACTTTGATAAGAACTAAACATTTTTTTGCATAAGAAAGCTACAATATATTTAAATAAATTTAAAATAATAAAAACTGAATGATAAATATACATAGAACTTAAAAATTGGTAAAATACATGACGGGCTCTTCATGGTAGCGTCATTTTTAGTTGCAATAATTTTTTAATGATTTAATATCTGAAATTTTAGAAATTTGCATGTGTGTTCTGCATCAGAAATTCCAGCCTAATTTATTAAACATCTTTGATAGAATAATTTGAATAAAAAGTATAAATAATTATTCTCAACTAAGATATTTAGAAAAAAATTTAATTGATTAAAACTTCATGCTCATTCCGGAATTAGTTACGATTGTTACGAATATTTAATTTTTTTCATAATATGTTGTGGTATTTCAGTGTCTATGTCAATTTTAGCTTTTTTCTTTGCAGATAGAGATCGAGAGGTCAACTTGTGCGATACAGATAAGCCCGCCGGTTTGTACAAGTATCAGCTCATGCATTGTTCCATCCTCTGTATCTTCCGACGCATATCAATCATACTTGAAGTTGATGGCAAATTCATTCATAATCAGCAAATATAATGCTCTCTCGGAACGTTGTTTGTTCTGCTCGACGACGTTCCTCTATATATCGGGTATCAAATTATTTAAAAAAGCAGAGCGGATTTATTTTATTTTTCTCTGCAGAGGAGAGAGATCGATTTCCATCTGTGATGTTTGACAGGCCTTCTTTTCTCACTATGCAGCCCATCATCATCATGCAGCAATTGAATAAGAAACACTTTCTCGGCGCCGTGGCCGCGATGTCGTTTCGATACAACCGGATAAGACCTTAATTACACGCAGAGCATCAATCATAATATGAAAATATGCTTCAGCTCGTTATATTATTATTGTGTACGCGAGAGTGAGAAAGGAACTCGGCTCTCTTCATTTCCATTGAATCGACGCGCCGTGCGGTGCATTTTGTACGTTTTTAGAGGAAGAGGAAAAAAATTAATAAATACAAATAAAAAAAAAGGATCCATCCGGCCGCTCAGGCCCCTGTGAATTATTATCATTTCTAATTTGTCGTATACCATATTCCGGCTCCGCTCAACTCGTCTTGATGCAGTTTTACTCCTTATCGCTACTGTATGGTAATTATTTTGACCTCGCGCATGTTGTAATGAATGAATTAGGAGATCCATGGCAGTATGAGCAGCGGCGCGAGCGACCGAGATCATTCTCCGCGCCGCCGCCGCTGACTTTTTTTTTTATTTCCGTTCATTGTTGAAGCAGCGCCGAACACAAGAGAAAGAAAAATATCCATTCAGCGATGCGCCATTAATATTTATCGCACCTGCCGCCGGTCGATCCACGCCGCCGAAATTGTAAATGAGAGAGGAACCGACTTTAAAATTGAAAAATTTATATGGAAACTCCATTGGAGATTTAATTTTTTTTCTTATTGTGCTTTTGGCTCTCTCGTTGCGTGGCAATTAAAAATTGGCAATTATAAATTAGTTGAGAAATAGCACTGCGCTGACGTCAAAGACTCGCCATTTCTTCGTTTTGGTGAAGAAATCGCTCATATTCGTGGAATACGCTGAAAAATTGTGTCTCGGTGCGGTCATAAGAAAAACAGAGATGTTTTCACATGAAATTTGTGAGTTATTTAGGATCCTAACAAGGATGCTACTTTTAAATGTACTATTTGGTTTGATCCTACGCTTAAAATTTAAATCTAAAATCGTTCCACGGGAAAAAAAGGTATATTAAATAATTTTGAATTTTCAACCTTTATTAAATTTATATATGTCCAGAATTTGAAGTTGAAAATCCAATGTAGAAGAATAATTACAATGAAATACAAAATAATGCTTCCTTATTTGCCCATCTATAAATTTTAAATCTGTCTTTTTTCAAAAATTAGTTTTGATGGCAAAACATTTTTCCTCTTAAGCCTTTTGAATTCATTAGCTGTTAATTACAATTCGTGCGATCTCTCTCCACTGCTCTTGTGCTGACCAGCATCTGCACGTGTGAAGAAACATTGTTTATTTGTAATGTAGCTGGGAAGCAGTTTCCTCAATCTGAAAGAGACCCGTTGCCATAGCTTATTCGAATTCAAGTCGGCGCGCACGCAGTTTTAAATAGCCGTGCAATAATTCGTGGAATCGCGCTCGCAACCTAGCATCAAGTTCAAGGAAAAGAAATAATATAATGATCAGGCACGACGAGAAGAGAACGCGCGTGCAGGCGATCACCCGACACCTTCGAAAACTTTCCTCTTTAGATAAGAATTTACGACGGAATAAAAATTAATAATTGGGACGTTCGGAGCTCAAATGTGGAGAAAAATTATTATTAATTCCATTCCATTGTTTCCGAAGGGAAAACTTTCTTTTCTTCCGAAAATCACATCCGCCTGTCGTCATCCGTGATTGCAATATGAGGTTAATGCTAAAAGTCTGCTTCTTCGGAATTAACCAACGTCCTTGGCTAGATTGTGTGTTCTTGCTCGCGGCGATAATGTGCACTCGATTTTTCCCTCCTCTTTCTTTTTCTCGCTGCTGGCCGGGATCTGTGCTTTTGCTACTCACAGGACAAATAATATGCTCACAATTGTGTTTTTTTCCTTCCCTGCGATGCTCTTCGCGCCAGAATAATGCGGACAAAGGAAGTGGTGTGAAATTGACGCATTCTTGGAAGCAAGGGCCACTGGGACACGCAAACATCTGCTCACCAGCAAAATGCACAAAAAGGAGCCAGCCAGCGTCGCTTCCCCAAAAACGTCAATCAGGGCCGATTTATTATATTATTGGGAAGTGGAGGGTTGGGTAAAGAAATCCGAGGGAAAAACCATGAGGCAAACGCTGGACAGGCGTGTTAAAGCAGTTTGTGGAAATGAAATAGGGACAGATTTTGTTTGAAAGTGTGAAATTTCTCTAGCAAAACCCTCTTCTTGGAAAGTTTGTTTTTCTCAGACGGGATTCGGAATAAAAATAAGATGCAAAAATAAATTCAAAAATGATTTTTTTTTTCACTTGCAAGAATTGAATTCAACGGTTTTTATTTTTCCAGATTTCATATTGTAAAATTAATATCAATTTATCAAAAAGACCACCTTAATAAAGAGAACTTATAGTTTAAGAATCATATTAATTTCATAAAATAATTGTGGCCATGTATTTTACTTATACAAATATAAAACTAAAAATTTAACATCTTCCATGCTAATGCAATGTCTCTTGATAAAAAAATGTTTTAAAATAAATTAAAAAATAAATAAACTTAATACAATAATATCAAATGAAATAAATATATATACCAAGCAATCTAAATTTAAATTAAAAATAAAAGCAACATTTTTATTTTTATAAAAAGCAAATTGCTCGCATTGCGCGTGTCGCCGTCTGGCGGACTCTGCGCGAACTCGCGTCCGACGTTTTTATGAATGGGCCTCAGATAAGGGGGAGGTTGATTGACGGATGGCTGCGAGCAAACCGCGCCAGCCAGCTTGCTTATAATTTTTCGCCTTTCGCTCGGCCGAAACGTTTTCAGCGAAAATTCAGCAAATCGAAGTCCGGGGAAATTCTGTAATTGGTGGCGCGTGACTTTGGCATATAAAAAAATCTATGTATACTTTTCTGGTCGGCTGTTTGCCCTGCCGCAGAGTGAAAAACAAGAGATATTATTTGTAAATAGAAAAGCACTCGGCTCGTTCGTTCATTCATTAAGAAAGTCATTAAAGGCGCACGGAGCGAGCGACTGCTGCTGCTGCTGGACATGCGTTTGCTTGGCCTTCTTACTTAACCTTCGCGTTTGTTATTTTTAGACGCGCGTCCTGTTTATTAAATGTGTGTGCATCGTAACGCCGCCGCCGCCGCCACTTGGCTTCAATTAAACGCGCCGTTTCCTATTCACCTTTGGCGAAAATTTATCGATCGCCGGCCGCCAATTTGAATTTCAATGCGCGTGTTTCCGCCGCGCCGAGCCGTGCGTGTAATCAGAATAACGCGCAGAGGTCAAAATGTACAAAAAAATGTAAGTTCGCAATTAGGCCAGTCCAGAGAGGAAATTGGAAATTGAATTCAAAGAAATTGAGGCACAATGAGACAAAATTGTGATTTGCACTGATTTAAATAAAAAAATGCAATCAATTAATTTTACAACTCATGAACCACAGTTGACACAATTTTTAACCGTTAACTTCAAAATTTTATTTCAAATTTGTTTATGTTCTTTCCCAACGGAGCTGAAAAATACAAAAATAGCTTCAGCAGGGTGAATTTTGGTTACATTAATTTTAATATTCACGCTAGTGCCCATTAAAATAAAATTGAGGTGAGGATTAAAATTTAACTAAAAACCAATGAAGAAATAAAAAGTTTAGAATCAAATTCTGTTTGGATTTAAAATTTCTTGTTGCAATTTTTATAATAAGATTTCTTACTTAAAAAATAATAAAAATAAAAAAAAAAAATACATCCCAAAAATCCTAAAATTTAAAAGGCGATCAAAAAGCTAACTGAAAGGTGGACTAAATTAGCCTGGGCCAAGTTAGGCTTTTCAAGCA